GGTGGATGGATGGATGGAGAGAGGGATGGAATGAGAGATGGATGGAGAGGGGGAAGGAGGAAGAGAGAGGGAAAGTCAGAGCTTCAGCCCTGCCCACCGGCTGGCAATTTTAGAACCACAACCTTTCAAGGCTTGAGCCCAGGCTTAATAACCTCTCAAGACTCTTCACGTTCTTATTTTTTTCCCAGTCCTCCAATGTCTTGTGCAAAACGAAAGGGATGGAAAGTAAATGGCTTCAAGTGGCCTGCACGTGCTACTGAGAGCCAGTCCCCTGGGGAAGGTCAACCCTAGTAATCCCTTTCAGTTCCCTCTCAACCCTCAAAACACAGTCAAGCCTCAGGTAATCCTTACAACCATCAGGAGGGGACTATTATCCCCATTTTACAGACACGGAAGCTGAGACTCAGAGAGAAGGGACTTGCCCGAGGTCAGACAGTAAGTAACAGACAGCCAGGACTTTACCCTTCAGGTCCGTTTCCCCCAGTAAGACTTGTCTCCACGCACAGGGAGCTGCAGCTGGCTGGGGGCCCTGGGCGGGAGACGGCACTTTAGCTCAGCTCCAGCATCTGCTGTTCTGAGGGGAAGACGAGGGAGCCAGAGGATGCCAGACAGGAGCAGAAAGAGTGAGTGCGAAGCATCATGGGGCTCGTGTGTTCACCCCTGAGGGCCCAGGCCGGTGGGGCCGCCCAGCACCTTCACGGTCAGGGCCGTGGGTTCCCCGGGGCAGCCCAGAGAATCAGCTGGATCTGAGGTTTGCACCCGAGGCTGCAGTAGCGCTAACGTGGAGCCCATGTCATCAGCATCGGAATCTGTGACTCTCCTTTGAAAACTGCAGGATGGGGGCTCGAGGTGCTCACGGGGGGAGGGCGGTCATGGCTGCGGTGGCCTCAGGGCCAACACGAGGGTGCACGTTGAACCCCCACCATTTGGGGTCCCTGCACTCAGCGGTTGCGCTCCTTCCTGAGAAAGGAAAATCTCGGGAGCCCTCAGGTTCTCAGCTGTCAGAGCCTCTGTGCGCTCGAACTGCGAAACGTCTGCGGTCAGAGGAAGCAACTCGAAATCCCTTCAACAGACCCCCAGCCCACCAGCTGTCCTGCAGTAAACATACCTCCAGTCTCCCCTGCTCCCGAGTAGCCCACAGTTCCAGGACTGCAGGGGACAGGGACCAGAAGGGACAACGGTCCACACCACCACCTCCTCGCCTTCTATAGCGCCTAAGGCCGCAGACCTCACAAGAGACGTGCTGGGTGGGAGCAGGGGTGCTGGACTCCCCCCAGCCCCACCCCCAGGGGCACTTGCCTCTCCAGGGAAGCAGCCTGAGTTTTTCCAGTTTACACCGAATTACCCACATCCCCAGGTCTCAGGTCCTGCTTTGAGCTAACTCAGTAAATTACTTCACTTGTGCCAAGACCCGGGTTGCCCGCAAGCCGAGACCAGCCCACGATGCTCCTCAGAGGTGTTTTGGGGGTCTGCAGCCTGGGGGCTCCATTTCAGCCCATTCACCAACTCTCCATCCGTAGCCATCAATCCTCAAACCCTCCTTGAGCCCCTGCCATCCGCCAGTGGGACCCTGAGGAGACAGGAAGGAGCAGCTGGGACCTCATCCTCCCTCCTGGAAGCTGGGCTCTCGGAGAGGGGAACACACAGGGAGACCCAGAGAAGGCACCTCAGTTATAGTCAGCTAGAGGCTGACTCTTCCGTGGCGCCCTTGAGCCGGTGCCTGGCCTCAGGGTCATCGAATGGGGATGCAGGATGAGGGACAAGAAATAACTAGTGTGACCAGTGTCCTGGAGAGGCAGGCTGGCTGGAGTCTGGGAAAGACATTGTGAGGGGAAAGTGACACTAGGGGGAACCAGCCCTCGAACCTGAAGCTGTCAGACCCCCGAGCTGCGCCCTCTCCACCCAGCCCCAACCATCAGAGAGCGGGGGAAACACGCTGGACCACCCCCAGACAGCCCCCAGGACTGTTAGAGTGGCCGTGGACCGGCTTCCTGGACCAGGACAGGCTCCAGCCCCCCGACCCAGCAGCTGTCTTACCTGCAGGACAGACACTTGGATTTGGTCAAGAGGCTCCTGCCACCGCGGTATTTCCCGGCTGAAGCTGGACCCTCCTGCTCCCCTGCCGATGTTCTGGTATGAGCTGCTCTGCCTCAAATCTCGTTTGGGGCAGCGTTTACTCCCTATGGGCCTCTCTGGGGGCCTCTCTGAGTTTCCCTTGAATCCTATAGCTGCAGGCCAAAGGTCCAGGAGGATGAACGTCACCAGGGTTCGCGCTTCTGGGGGCTGAGGACGGGGTCCCAAGCCTGTCAGCCAAGCTCCCCTCTCTCCTGAGGTTCCAGCCTGGCCTCAGGGTGAATCTGGGGGGCTGGTGCTGTTTGGGTTGTTGGCAATTTTGAGCTTGAAAGGGATCCAAAAAGGCTTTGGCTCCCCCCGAGCCCCACCCACTCCGTGTAACAAGGCCTCAGGCACTAGTGGCCATCCTGGTTGCGCTGGGTCACCCCGTCTTCAGACAGCACCTTCAAAGCCGTGCTGGACAGAGCCCTACTGGATGCTGGCTGGAGCTGCCTGAGGTGCCGGTGGCTCTTCCAGATCCTTCCTCTGGGGTAAAAAAAATGGCCCCACGGCCTGGAGGGGAGAGTCTGGGGCTGGTGATGGGGAGGCCGCAGCCCTGCCTTCTCGTGTGGCTGTGCACTCGGCCCCCCAGGAAGGGTTCTGGGAGGACCTGGAGTGGACCTGACGGCGTGTAGGGGTCATCTGTGGATGCTGTAACAAATCACACCAAATCCTAGAACAGCACAGACTTACAATCTTCCAGATCTGGGAGTCGAAAGTCCAGAATGGCTCTCACAGGGTGCTGGCAGGGGTGGTTCCTTCTGGAGGCTCCAGGAAACATCCATTTCTTTGTCTCTTTCAGCTTCTAGTGGCTCCTGCTTTCCCTGGCTTGTGGCCTCTCATCTCTCCGACCTCTGCTTCCATGGTCCCATCTCCTGACTCTGACCCCCCTGCTTCCCTCTTATGAGGGTCCTCAGGATGAGGTTGGGCCCACCTGGATAACCCAGAATTGCCTCATCTCCAGGTCCCTTACCTTTTTCATGTTCGGTGAAGTGACATATTCACAGGTTCTGGGGATCAGGGCGTGGATATCTTGGGGGGCCGTTGTTCTGCTGACCACAGGGGATGCCACAGGAGTGAGCCTGTGGTCTCGGGGAGCTGTAGGCTCGGCCCTGCCAGCCCTGGGGACAGCGGGTCCAGCCCAGCCCTGGGCTTCTGCAGGGGACCCGTCACTCCCCTCTTCCACTCCAGGACCACCAGGCTGGGAGGAGGAGACACACAGCTCCCCAAGCAGCGCCTGCACCCTCACAGGGCCCAGTGCAGGTGGCCCTTATTGGAGCACTGTGGGCAAGGGGCAGGCCAGCGCGTGGTGGGCTCCTCCCTGAGGCCAAGCTCCAGAAAGGACTGCCGTGGGCCGTGGAAAAGTGTCCTCATCCCAGTGGGGCAGAACCATGGCGCCGATATGGAGAGGGTGCAAGGAGGGCCAGAGAATGAGCGGACAGACCTGGGGAGGGGTCAGCAGGGGGAGGGAGAGAGACGAGGCCAGGAGAGGCAAATTAGAGTTTGCAGTTTCATTCATTCCTGTGTTGGTGCCTCCCTGCCTCCCTCCCTTCTCTGAGTGTCCGGTCTTGTGTTAGGGCCAAGGGCCCAAAGATGATCGTTCTGGAGTGTCCAGGCCAGTGGAGGCCATTGTGGCAGAATCACTGTGACCCCTGGGATAGGGTTGGGGGACCAGCTGGGCCCCAATGAAGAGAAGTGTGCTGGGGAGGTGGCACTCGAGCTAGCTCTTTGGCTGAGCTGTCTTGAAAGAATGTTCCGAGACTGGCACCTGCCGGGGCTGGGCTTGGGGGAGGATGGGGAGGTGGGGGCCGGGCCCCGAGAAGAGGGTCACGGTGTCCTGAGCTTGGCCGGGAGGCGGGGACCAGGCGTCTATTTTTAAACCCAAGTGGGGCTCCTTTCTTCTGTCTCCAGGAGACATGCTCACTCCTTTGTGCGCAACCTCAGAGGCCCCGAGCCCCCGGCCCCCGAGCCCCCCGCCCCCGCAGCCTCTTGACTGTTGCTATTTGAAAGCATCTTGGTCCCGGCCAGAGAGAGGGGAGCCTGGGGGCCTGGGAGATGAAAGGGGCCAGCCCCCCACGGGCCTGCCCTCGCCGGGGGCAACAAAACCCTCCTTGTGGCCCTGCCAGTTCCAGGCACCGAGGGGGCACCGGGCCAGGCCGGGGACGTGATGGCCCCCGTCCCTGGGGTGAGCTGGGGTCACTGCCACCCGCTCATAAGGCCCTGGGCCTCCAGGGTCAGCCTGGGAGAGTGGATCCAGGCTGAAGCCCCCGAAGTTCTCACCGCCTGGGAAAG